CGTTGTTCAGCAACGATGTCCCCATGTTCTTGGTTCTTTCGGTAAAGCCACGTAGAAGGGAAATAATAAAATAATAAAAACGAAACATAAGATTACATTCTTACTACGTTTTGGCCACAACGCAATTTTTTTTTCCTTCTACGTGACTTTAACGAAAGAACCAAGAACATGAATCCATGCAGTCAGGAAAGCTTTAAATCGAAAAAGATGTCCCCATGCTTCTTTTTTTTTCTTCTCCACGTGCTGGGAGCTTCTTTCGTCAGACATCCTTTCGAACAAGACTAAATTTATAAAGCACATTTCTTTAAAACTTCCTTTTTGTGTTTAGTTTGTTGTTCTTCGTCCCCCCGGCACATCCGATTGGCACGGCTGGCTATGTACCGTGGGAGAGTAGTTCAACATACACACAACCCCCGAAAGCACATCGGAGGCTTGTACAATAATAAGTAATATTTGTAAAAACTTTTTTAAAAACACGCTTTAATGAAATGTACCGTACTAGTAATAGAAAAACTCCACGACTCCAAGAAGTGGCCCCAAAGCTTGCCATAACGCAAGGGGACCGTGATCAATTAAGCCAACGTCAGTTGAGTGGGGACAATTAGACCCAAGCCGAAACATAACATATAAAAAAGATTGTTGATTTTTTTTTATGATAGAATATGGTATTGTCATCAGTATGACATAAGTATACCAAGTTTGCAGTCGATACCACATTGGGAAGTGGGTTAAACTTGAGTTACAAGATTTGAGGATACAACAACAGAGTGGGTTAATAAAAAAGCGTGTAAATAACCCTTCGCCAAACCCAAAATTACCTTCTGTTTTACTATACTCTTTTAGTTCTAAGTGATGCGTTGTATGCCATATTTAAAAAAAACATCACAGTAAAACAAATTTTTTTTATCACTAATAGTTCATTGTTGATCTATCAATTCCCTTTAATGGAGAAGTGAAATAGCCAGTTAGCTATGACGAGTTTCAAATGCTCAATCTACCCACACACCACAACATCTGCAACACTGTACAGAGGCAGTGTAAACGTGAAACGCCAGAAGGTGCAATACAGTTCCGTGCGCATTTACATTAAAACGAAGCCTTCACGCGCACGCTTTCAGGTCATATAATTGGTTATGCGGACTACAAGCCAGGAAAGAACTAAAGGACTGTTTATGTTCTTTGAAAATCCTCACCGACAAATTCCTCAGTAAACCACATTTGCAGAAGTCGGTTCGCGAAAACACGCAGGTTTTCAATTCTCACAGATGCGGGACAGCATTGTTCCTCGTTAGAAATCGACCTGTACATTCCATTCCCATCACACAACGCAGATCTCAAAATCCACGCGACCACTGGGATGACCCCATGACTCTTTGTATACGTGACTTTACCGAAAGAACCAAGAAGATGAATCCCTGCAGTCACGAAAGCTTTAAATCGAAATCCAGGCAAGGTAGTTAACATCCCCCAACATTGGCGCCTTCGCACGCTCAAATTGAATTTCTTCGGGTTGCACCGCGTGTTCTACGCGATGTTCACGGGGAGCGGTAGCTCCCAGGATCTGGAGCGAAACGTCGGACATTGTGCAGAACAACGACTCGCGATAACGACCCCGAAAACGCACCGCCAGAGCCATGCAGCAGCAGCACAAATTGTGAAAACCCCAACGTGCAAGGATTTTTACTCCTGGCAATCCCTCGGAATGATCGCCGTCTCCTCTGAGAGATGCGGCAGAAAATATGCACAACAATACGCGTCCTGTTGGTTGTGCAACACAATAGAATGCACAGTAAGCACACATGACACGTCCCAACAAAAACCCTGAAACCGTACGCCCTACATTTAGAAATACGTACAGTGCCGTGTCTGCACATCTGCATTAAAGGCTCGAAGCTCCGGTTTCAGACAGGCATGGAAATCAACTTTAATTGGAATTCATTTTTTGGCTCGTTAAGTTAGCTCTGTGGTCAGGCTTGTTAGTAAGGTGGACAATTGAGATTAACTGGGTCAAGGAAGCCCATCCATTTACATCAGCTGTAATGCGCGGTGGGAAGAACTGCTGACTTTGGCGGTTGTAAAAACTTGGCATGGATTCCCACACACATGCCACGTTCATGAGTACACATTTGACAACGAATCTATTACAACCCACCAGGAGGACATCCCAGGATTGGGAGCATCACAGGGTGATGTTCTTTCGTTCAAGGAGGGGGGGGGCAGGTGAGAAGTTTGATGGCAGCATTTTGGATTATATGGAGTTTGGAGATGAGGAATTTTAGAAGGCAGTAGAGGAGAGAGCTGAAATAGTAGAGTTTGAAAGTGATGAAGGCATGGATGAAAGTCTTAGTAGTGGCTGGAGGAGTGTTCGTTCACTCATTTTCAGAGGGGGGCCCACTTTTGCCATTAAGACATCAGTGTGAGGGCTGCCACACATTTGAAACCATTGGGGTTTGACAGCATGATGGGGTGTTTTCACATTTGCGTATTGTGGGGAGTCGCACTAAAGGCCACCAGGGGCTGCCAGTGGCCCACGGGCCTTGCAACGAAGAACATTGGGCTAGTGAGGAAGTGGCAGATGTTGCACAGACATAGGTATGAGGACCTGCAGAGTTGGTATCCATGACAACGCCAATGGCTTTCGCACATTCTTTGCCAGCGTGATGTCAGTTTGGGAGGTTCAGGCTCAAAACGAGGCTCTTTTGCTTCGAGTGGATATTTTTCCGATGAGGAATACTTGTGGTTTGTGGCAACAAGTAGCTGGAAGTTCCGGGTTATCATGCTGAAAGTGACCAAATCCACAAAAATGCCGACAGAACACTTTTTTCTTGAAGTGGCATTGTTTTTTCCGCACCATCTCACTTATTTACGCAAATGCTTTGCTTGTGTTTCTCACTCAAGCTGTGCTCTCCCACGCTGCTCTCTCCCCACACAGCTTGCCGTCTTCAAAATTGTTTGCCTTTAAAAACTCATGCCCGTTCCCGATGCACTTCCGCAATCGAAACAGCCATCTGTAGGTCTGCGTAGCTGCGCACCCCAACTCGCCATTGGGAGAAGCGGCTAGCAGCAGAATTCTATTCTTGCGAATGATGGCAGCAATATGGTCAGGAGCTAAATGGTCAATGTCGAGATCCGGTGAAGGAGCGCAGACTTAGTTGGTTTACTATACGGCCCATCGGTTGCGTTGCTTGGCCACAATCGCACTGGGACTTAAATTTTTACCAACCATGCGATGATTATGGAGCGCGTTGCCATCTCCGTGGTGGTGGCACTGGTGGCAGATGGTAGGGCTCTGCCCCACCAGTTCTGCGCCGTGGCATGATGCCGCCAAACATCGACATTCATCACCACCTTCCTTGGCATTCACACACACGGCTGGCGGTTCGCACTACTATATGGAACTGTCACGGATCTTATACCGCCGCTGCACAATTCTGGGTACGAATTCCAATTACCAGCTTTAATGTTGCAATGATACTGCAACGCCGTAGGTATGTGCGCCGAGCAACAACCTTTATTTAGGCAGTCCTCAAGATGCACATTTAGGTTCCTTATAAATTCAAATGATATTTGACTGTTTAAGCAATTTCATTATGTACGTATCCATCCTCTGCCTTGTGACAAAGTACACGTGAGTAGCCCATGTGGATGTATCGTATGTATGCACGTTGAACTTTTAACACCGTACGTAGCCAACCGTGATAATCGGAGGTGGGTAAATTACTGAAATGGGAACTTCACTAGTGTTGGTAGACGTTCATATTTTGAATGTACTTTACAGAACACTTCAGTAGACCTCTACGAAGAGCATGTTAGTGCTATGCTACATTATTATTTAAACAAGGTTAAAGTGTCCACGTGCTCCAGTGAGCAATGGGCAGTGCTCATCTCCACTGGCTGCTTTAAGCCAGTGGTTGAAATGCCACATGTCCATCATACCACAACCTCCGTTGACGTCCAAACAAAGTGATAGTTCATTTTACCGGGCTTAGTCCGAATTAGAATTTGAAAGCTTTCGGAGTGCGGAGTCTGACACTTGCCACATTGTTACCCATTTAGAACAATGCTGTATTGTGTCCCTGTGTTACGGGATTGTTACTTATTAATAGGGGTGGAACGATTCATGCCCAAGTGGCGATTCGAGGTTCGATTCACGAATCCACATTCTTTTTTGTTTTGTGCCCATTGTGGGTGAATTGTACCACCTCTATTGGATGCAACGATCACTGTAAATAATTATATACAGCATAAAAATATTTAAAAAATTATGTAGACTATCAATCAAGGAACTATGACTATATAAAAAATATTGTAGATTACCGGTACTCGATGCATCATTACACCCCTATTTCCAACAGTACTGTCCACAGCGCATTGCTATTACGGGACTGGATTACTTTATTGGACCACAGCTGGTCAGTGTGGGTTGGTGAAGGTGAGGAGTGCAGATGTGAGATGTGGGTACAGAGAAGTACACCACCACAACGGATTTTTTGCTGCACTGCCCTCTGATGTCCATCCCAGATCCGATCAAGCCCCATGACAACATGTCCCGTGCATGGTGGTGGGTCATCCACAAACAATATCCAGGCTCAAAATCTGCTTAGCTTCTGAGATCTGATAAGATCGGGGTGCATTCTGGACGATTTATCCGTCCGTATGTACTGCTACGGTGCTATATTATTTAAACGTCGAAGAGATGACATTTCACGAGTAAATACGCACAGTTAACCTTCACACGGCACAACAGCTTCTCGTGCTTATCATTATTATTTTAAAAAGGTCCACATGCTCCAACAAAAAATACCCGACGACTGGAACGGGTCCGACGAAGTTGACATCACAACAAACACTGCCATTTCGTCGCCGACCCTCGCCCCCTTCACTATCGCACCTCCTTTATACGTAGATCTCACCTTTTCCGATAGTGTAATGAATGTCGTCCTTCCCAGGGATATGCCCCCAATGTTTTTGCACCAAATGACAGAGTCAACCCGACTCACCATCGCCAACTCCGCACCCTTCTTCCTCGTCGCCACAAGCGTCGTCGTAGAACCCCGACCTCCTCTTCTCCTCCTTGATGAAGGTGCGCACGGACAGCCGGTTGAGACAGCCGCTCAGTCGCGGGTTTATCGACTCGTCCCAGGAGGGGGACACGAGGAGGCTGGAGCTCGGGTCACCGATCCCGGAGGACACGGAGCTCACGTCGGACCCCTCCATGTCCCAGTAGCCGTCGTCCGCGGCGGCGGAGACGCTCATCGCGATCGGAACGACCAACCACCGGCGGGACGCCTCGAATCAAACTCACGGTGGCGAGCGGCAGCGACGATGGCTGGGTAGAGCCAGACTGCCATAAAAAGGTGGGCAAATATACATTCCAATTCCAAACAACTGGAGGACGTGTGGCCGAGACACGAGTTAACGATTAACCGTGTCTCGCGTAAGTTACATCCAAGTTCACGGACACCTTTGCGGTTGTGCGATTTAGATTCCAATTACAAATTTAATGCCATCGGGTATTTAAATGTTCACGCGATTCAGACGCTGCCCATCTCTGACCGTGTCATCCAAGAAGCCAGTGCGAAGCGCGTCGCTCAAGAGGACACATCTGCAAAGGTGCTGACGCACATGGGGGGGGGGGGGGGTGGTGAATGTCTCGGGCCACGCCTCGGCGTTCCTTGCCTACGGTGGGTGTCCACTGTCCAGTAAAACTTTTCGTTATTGCCAACGCACATGCGAGAGAGGCGTGGGTGTGGAGTTAATGATGATCACCATGTGGTTGGTCCGGTTCAACCTGTACACCGCCCCCCCCCTACACTAATTCCACCTCCCAACTCGCAGTTGCAATGCCGCCCCAGGGTTGCGCGTGGCAGCATGAGTTACAGGAGTTACAGCTCTCCAGGAAGGGACCCCCCCCACTCCCCTAAGCTGTTATTGTTGTGCCCTTTATCACGAGGCAATAATAATGATACCACGAGCCCATTGATCCTAATGTGTGGCAGAGACAGAGTGTTAATGCCCAGATGTTCCAGAGTTATGGGTTTCTGCCCACTCCCTACCCCGGAAAGCCAGGACTTTAAACTTCAACACAACAACATGACTGACTGTACCGTATATAAATGTACTTTGTTGGCCCAATCAGAGAGACTAGTTTTAATATACATTCTGAATAGAGGACTATGTTCAGGCATTCATCAAATATGCAACTTTCTCTGGAATACTACATTTAAGAATGTTATCAACACATTCATCCATAACGTACCTGCCATGAAGGTAACATGAGTGGTACTTTGACGAATGGGTAAATTTGATCACTTAGAATGTTTACATTTCACGCATCTATTAATTTCTCACCCGATATTGAATCATACCGATTGTCCTTCTGATATATAAAGTACTGCACACAAACACAAGAGTTTACATACTGCAGTACCACGCAGAAGAGTTACACTGCTCTCATCTGTCATGCCGCTTACCCGTGGCGTGAAACCAAGCCACGATTGGGCCCATCAGCGGCTGCGTCAACCTCTTGCCCTTCGTGTTCGACGAGCAGACAATAGCCGACGATCGCCGTTGCCGCCATCAGCAAAAATAATGGTGCTGGTTATGAATTAAGACGATGATGGCGATGACAATCATTGAACCGATGATAATATATAAACGATGGGAACTACAAATCGTAATCGACGATCTTCCCTGTTGCCTCTGCTACTAGTCAATGCCACTTGGGGTGTCAATAACAACGGCGTCGCGATGACAGATCTTGATAATGATGATAACTTGATCGTCATTGACGCCATCACACCACCATCGTCTGCCAACCGCTGACATTGCCACCACACCTCCAAAGGACACACGGTGACACTTTATAGCCTTCGGGCACCGGGTCATGAGTTAACGAGACGGGATGAAACCTTGCCCACCCCCGTTATTCATTGCATCCGATTCCAGAAATGTGTGTTATAAATAGTGCGTATTATTATTACCGCGCAATAACATCACTGTTTTTATCTGCAATCTCTGAACAGAGAAGGCAGAGTCTAAAAAAAAGTTGAGTTTTTTTTGGATCACATATTCAGAGGAAAACTTATCTTAGCAACGCATTTACTTATCTAGGACACAGTTCCACCCCATTGTCATCGGTAATAGGAGTTCCAATATACCCTGAACATAACATTATGCAGCTTTTGGTAAGATAAAGAGGGGTATTGCAGAATGTATTAAATCCATTATCTTACAAGTAATATAACTTTGATGGCAAGTGTAGAGTACTACCACCATGAGCTCCCCTCGACTACACATTTGATCAATCAAAATTTGCTGCGCGTTTTATTTCATTTTTAATAAAAATAAATATTCTGAGATACCTTACAGTATACGAAAATTGTTCATACATCTTCCGCATGAAACTCAAACTGCCAGTGCTGCATTAAACCACCAAACCACACACACACACACACTGCTCATGCACCATATTCTAAAATGGAAAATTCTTTACGGAAAAGCCACATCTTGAAGCCTGGATTAAAACCAGACTTACGGAAGATTGGTGCGACAGATATATTAATGGTGGAAGGAACCACAAACTTCACCACGGCTAGTCAGAGCACTTATCAGATGGACCTGTCAGAAGTCAACCCAGCCATGGGTTCTTATACAACCGCTACGTGCACAGTTCTCGTCCTTGATTTAGTCCAATTTGGGGCTGGGAGTGGTGGTGCGTGCCTGTAATCCAGCACTCCGGACACAAGGACCTGTAGCCCACGTATAGAGATTATTATCTACTTTACACCCAACACGTGCGGAGCTGCTAGATGAAGTTCAAGTTCATTTATTAGGTATAGCCCTGTGAGCCATTCGGCTCTTGAATCGGGTGCAACCGCAACAAACAGGAACAAGCTAAGAAGAGTCCAAGGGACTGCCGTGCCCATGATGACATATATTTGTGATGGGTTTCGCAAGCCATGCACACGCAAGCACGTAAGCATTGGTTCATTGGGCAAAACGGGAAGTGCTGGTTTTATGCTGTACCTACAAATGCCCACAATGTCTCCTCCACCAGAAGGTGCTACACACACCCTTGGGACACCGGATTTCATAACTGCTACCCCAGCCAATATTGTTTAGTTAAATGCCTGATTAATTCCTAGGCGTTATACGGGGAGTGGGGATAAAGGTTTATAAATAAGCACTTTAAGGGAAGGGGTTGGCAGATCACGATGTATATCTTGACACTCATTCATCATTGTGGAGAATTATCCCATTGTATCTGTGGGTTTCCTAAAATAACTCTCGTTTCCTCCCACAGGCATTAGACTCACAAAGGATATGACCAAACATTCCAATGTGAAAAAGAGCGAGGCTTTCCAGAAAGATAAAAAAGATGTGTAAAGATGCATGGATTCATCAATTAATATTGATCTTAATGGTCATGATAGATGCATTGAATCGTGCATGCGAAAATCCATCATTCACAGTGTATGCCAATGAGATGTAAATAAGCAGAGAAACGTGACCGGACAAAGTTTTATTTAAATGTATTTGTTTAAGATTTTTTTTTCCATGAGTCAAGTTGCTATTATGGAAAAATAATGAAAATCTACTGTGACCCACCGTTAAAGTTCAGTCGTGAATGCAATGCTCTTTAGAAGAAATAAAGATAAGAATATTGGCACACAAAATTCCAAGATTAACAAAAAGGGAATTTAGGATATTTGGAGAGGTCGGGGACTATTGAAGGCTGTATTACACTTGTATGGAACTCGTATAGGCTCCAAACTCAAAGGATTTCAAGACTTGCCATCTTCCTTTAGCCATTATCCATTGTCGCGTATTTTACTTTCATATCCTCCCCAGTCCCTCGTGGTCCATACCCACGTGCTTCCTTGCGTGATGCTCTCCACAATCTGCCCTTGTCTCCTTCCTTTCTTCCCATCCACATTCTGAGCCCAAGGAACTCAAGTGGCCAGTGAAAACAAAGCTGGCATTTGTGTGCATTTCTGTAAAGGGCCCTTTATTAGCAAGCCGATCCCCCTGGATGTGACGGCAATTGACTAAGGCCACGCACGATAATTAGGATTACAGCGAATTGTTGGACCCTATCTTACATTTCTGTTTTTCTCAGCTGCGCTTTACCACCTCACTGCAGACAAAGATTCCATTGCAAGCAAAGTCATAACTGCCCGAACCAATAATGGATTCTTTATAATATATTCATGTATTGCAGTACTCCAATAGTTCCCCCTGCCCTATTGTGATGTGATTAATCATCGCAATGCTAGGTCATATTTTGGGTCAGAAGTCTATTCTTGTTTTTCGGTTGTGAATGTCGCAGCCTCCAGTGACGTCAGGTCAGGTGAACGTGTCACATGGACACCACACAAATGGAAAATACGGGAATCCATTTTCACATGCACGGCTCAATGCACGAATTGTAAAGCAAAATGTTTTTGATACGAGTGTTAAACAACACACCGTCACAGCCCAAATGTCTCGCAAATATACATTATATATTACAGGCAAAAGATATGCTGTATGTCGTCATAATCAGACATGCTCATTTCACTGCTGGATGAAGGTCGCCACCACCTATTATGATCCTGTGATGTAACAATCCACTTTGCACATGCACACAAACACATTTCATCGCTCCATCTCCTCGGTCGTCTACTCTAGAAAAAGTTCCATTCCTTGGTTGTACGTATTACAATACAGCGCCGAATATAAAGCATCATTTAGAGCGATGCAATGTTTATATATATATTTAAACAAGGAATGATATTTCACATTTATTACTAAACACTGGGCAGAAATCATTACTGCCGCATGGCATCAGGTGGACATTGCAGTTTAAATAACCTTCAGTGAAAGTGTAAAATAAACCGAGGTGTCCAATTACACACTTGCTATCACTACCGGTACAGTATTGTATGGTACAGTATTCATGAAGGTCTGCGTTGTATGAAAACAAGGTGAATTACTCACAACACTGCATGGTAAAGAAAGGCATATGTTTATTGAGGGATCTCATGGTGCAAAGCGGTAAATAAAATCCTAGATGAGATCAAACATAGAGGGCTTGGAACACGTTGTATAATGAATGGGATATTAAATTAAATATGAAAATAAGCTGGGAAACGTTTTCCAAAAAAATGAAATGCTTTTCTGTTTCGTGGCCACTTCTGACACTGTTTGCTGTTTAATGCGTTTTTCTTTTAGAGTAGCCTCCCAATTATAACTCTGTAATTGGATGCAATTTGTCATATTTGTCACGTGTAGCTTATGCATTTATTTGGGGGGAAAGGAGTTTTTTTTTTTACAATCGAAAGTGTAAATTTTCTAAATAAC